TTTTTTTTTTTTTTTTTTTTTTTTAAACAAGTGTTCTGTCTGATTCTCTTTCAGCCCTCAGAGTCCTCCTGGCTCTTGTCTTTCTTGACCAATCTCTTCCCCTTTTGGGGACCCCTTAGCTACCCTGAGGGTAAGGGTATGGAGGAGAAGCCCTAGGTTTGAGGTTCCATCTGCTTTCCTTCCTGGAGCCGGGAGGGGCTGGCAACAGAAGGGGTGGCCTTCAGTCCCCCAGCACTGAGGAAAAATGGGGTACTCCCCAACTACTTTTCTCCCCTGCCTCTCAACTGGGCCATTTCTGGGTGGGGCAGTGGATTCCAGCTTGGCTCACACTGAGAATGTAAGAACTACAAACAAAATTTCTATTAAATTAAGTTTTGTGTCTTCTCCCCTGTGTTTCCTTCTGGGGGAAGGACAGACATCAAGAAACCAGAGGTAGGGCTGGGGATTTAGCTCAGTGGTTCAGTGGCCTGCCTTGCATGTGCAAGGACCTGAGTTCAATCCCCGATACCAAAAAAAAAAAAAAAAGGTGGCCTGATGGGTGGGTCTGGAGGAAGTCTTCACAGCTACTGAAAGACCCAGTACTCCTTTAGAGCAGGGGTACTGTATGCCCTGTGGCCCCCAAACCAGTAGAATAACTTGTAAGTTCCCCCACTCACAGTCTAGGCATGAGCTTGCTGATCCCTGTGACTTAACACTGCATGTTCTCCACAGCCAGGAGTCCTGGTTTGTTAAGGAGCCAGTCTACATAGAGTAGTTGAGCCATTTAACATTTATACCAGCCAGTGGTGGTGACACTGTTCTTACTCTGATAATCAAGGAACAGCTCAGCACGGTGTGTACCTTGCCCAGGACTCAGTCTTCAGGCTAAATTGAGATTTGGAAGACTAAGGGATGGGGTGTGTGGCTAAGAGGTAGAGTAGAGCACTTGCCTGGGGTATGCAAGTTCCCTTGGTTTTATCTCCAGCTCTGCAAGAAAAAAAAAAAAGGTGTACCTAAGGGGGAGATGAGTGAACTAATAGGCACACTACATTGCAGGGATGAAAAGGGAGCCTGGGCATCTTTGCTTGAGGTGCCTAGGCTCAGAAAAGCAGGCATTGGAGAGGAGCAATGGGTGAGGAGTCTGACTTGGATCAGTGCCTGGGAAGGAATGTGGAGAGGGGCAGGGCTGGAGGCACTGGTGGCTGGTCTCTAGTCACCTTGCTTCCCATATTCTGTGGTAAAAGGGAGTCCAATCCAGCTGCCTTTGGCTCCCCACTCAACCCATCTGGCACCTCCTCCAATCCTGTCCTTGGACTGGCCTCCAAGCTTCTAGTCACGGTTCTGTACTTGTCCTGGCCTCTCTAGGAACCCTGGTTTGGTAGACTCAGGAAGTTTATTCAGAGTATCTACTCATAGGTTGGACTTGAGAGCTCACATCTTCCTTATTCCATACCTCTGGGTTAAGACAGTGGGATAAACTGGTGGGAGGAGCGTCCGAAGTGCCAGTTTAGGAAAAGGAACCTTAAGTTTATACCAAAAACCCAGATTGTTCTCTATGCTGAATGAATCAAGCTGTGAAATGGCCTGTGGCTCAGCTCACAATTTTTTTGTTTGGTTTTTTTGTTGTTTTGTACCAGGGATCGACCTCAGGACCTTGCACTTGCTGAATCCCCGGCCCTTGGCTTGCAAATTCTTAAAAAATTTTTCTACTGTTGGTGATTTATATAGTATTTCCTGTGTGTGTTTTGGAGACAGGGTCTCCCTATCCAGCTTGGAGTGGCCTTGAACTGGATGATCCTCCAGCTGTCATGAGTCCTGGGACTACAGGTGTGCAGCACCACGCCCAGCTTTATTCTAGTCGAGTAATTTTCAGGGTTTCTGCTGAGGTGGTTAAACCAGAAAAAAATTCATTTGGAACAAAAAGCATGAATAAAGATTTTTGAAGCACAAATATCTATTAGAAGTAAATAAAAAACTTCGTTCAATGTTAATGAAACGAGGGTGACAATGGGGACAGAAGCCATTTTGCAGCCACATGACGTCACCGCTAAAGGCTATGGCATCACTGGAAACTACGTGAGGAGTGTAGGCGGAGGATGGGCAGCCGCTTCTCCAGCAGCACAGGTCAATCTGCGCATGCCCCAAGTGAGCGATCGTACGCATGCCCAAGCGGGCGGGGAGGTGGTGTCATACGCAGATCACGCGCACTGACGGTCAGCACACGCGCAGTTTGACCCGGAAGCGCTTGGCGGGCGGCGCGGCTGGGCGCTAAGATGGCGGCGGCGTGAGTTGCATGTTGTGTGAAGATCCAGGGGCAGCCGCGTTGCTCGGGCCCCGCCATGGCCGTCACCATCACGCTTAAAACGCTGCAGCAACAGACCTTCAAGATCCGTATGGAGCCTGACGAGACGGTGCGGGCTGGGCCGGAGCCCGGGGGCGGGAGCGACGAGTAACGGGTGATGGGGGTGGGGGCTGGGAGGCCGAGATCCTGGCGGTAGCAAAGCGGAGGACGTTGTGGGTTGGGTCCTGCTCACTCCCTCACCTGCCAGGCTCTCGGACACCCACGTGAGCCCTGGCCGGACCCCCGGCGGCTACAACGCCGTTCCTGGGCCATCTCGGCAAGCCCTGGCCGGGGCGCCCAGCGGGCCGGCACGGATGTCGGTGACTCTCGGGGCGCGGTGCCGGGGTCTGCGCTCCCCCTTGTGCTGTGTAGGCGTCCCTGGTCTGGCATTGCTGACTCAGGATCCCGATTTTTACGACGACGATTCTGATAATAAATGGCCTGTGATCATAGTTTCAGTGGCTCTTGTCTGTCGGCGATTGATTTTTGTTTGAGCAATTTGAGTGTGCGCCCGGCACTTTTGTGCCACTGCCCCCAAGAGACATACATGCTCTGGACAAGCCCGCGCTGCACCCTGACCATGCTCCCAGCCCGTGCCCAGTTTCTGTAGAAAAAAAAGCAACAACACATTTTTTTGATCAGTCTGTTTGATTTCCGGCAAGTTGCTTAATCTCTCTGTGTCTAGTTTCTCAAATATAAGGCAAGTTCAGATGTTATGAGACTTAAGTGTGATACAGCTGGGTATGATGGTGCACACATTCATCTTAGCGCCTGAAGAGGCTGAGGTGGGGCGGGGGGTCACAAGTTTGAGGCCAGCGGGGTCAATTTGCCAAAACCCTGTCTCAAAATAAAAAGGGATGGGGGTATAACTCTGGTAGAATGACCTGACGTTCGATCCCCAATTCTTCGATTAAAAAAAAAAAGTACAGTAACATAATTAGCATTACATTTATAATAAATAGCATTAGCAGTATCTATTGATCACTCTTACTGTCCCAGGTTAGCATCATAAATGGGAGTCTCTCCTATCTGTCCCTTTAACCTTTTTGTTTGTTTGTTTGTTTGTTCCAGACAGGGTCTCCCTACGTAATTCAGGCTGGCCTTGAATTTGCAGATATTCCTGCCTCAGCCTCCCAAGTGCTATTGTGTGCATCACCATGCCTGGCTTATTCGGTTTTGGGGTTTCTTTTGGGAGGGGTTATTTTATCTCAATATATTTTAGGCCATTCTGAAATATAATTGTTATTCTTTGCAAATTAGCACTTTTTCCAAGTGAGCAGGAGCTTGTTTTGTTCCGTGCTGGGTCCTCTGTATAAAATGGTTTTAGTGCCTACTCTAGCACCTGAGACCTAGTAGGTGTTCAGTGAATACCACTGACTAGCCAGTTGTCAAATTAATTCATAGTTAATATGTTTGACTCTGAAGCTGAGCTTCTCTGCCATCAGGATTACAAACTCCCCTCCTAAACCAGAAGGGATGATAGACTTTTTTTTTTTTTTTTTTTTTTTTTTTT